AGGCTAGATATCAGGAGGCACGACTTCACGGTCAGGGCGGCTAGGATCTGGAACCAACTTCCAAGAGAAGTGGTGCTGGCTCCTACCCTGGGGGTCTTTCAGAGGAGGCTGGATGAACGCCTCGCTGGGGTCGTTTGACCCCAGTACTTTTTCCTGCCATGGCCGGGGGTCGGACTTGATGGTCTGCTCAGGTCCTTTCCGACCCTAGAAACTATGAAACTAAGTCTAATTTAGCACTGCACAAATGTGTCATGCAAAATGTGCAACTGCACTGCCAAATGTACCAGCTACATGTTAAGATACCACTAAGCACAAGACAATACAAGTAGCACTCACCATGGAAAAGCAGAAACTGAAGATTCATTTAATCCTACTAAACAATTTAATTTTTTTAAGTTTACAACATACCGATAGTCACATTAAGCATCTTACCTTATCGAGTTTCAGTTCTAATTCCGTCACATCTCCTTCCACTTCTTCTAAAGCAGCCCTGCAAGATTAAAATAATATGTTGCATACGAAGGCATTACACAAAATATACTTTGCGACTACATGTTCAGTTCAGGTCATTATCAGAAAAATACTGACTGAGATGTCTGTTGAAGAAGGGGTGGAGGGAATAACAGGAGGAAACCATTAGCTTGGCTAATGGCTACATAAAAGCTCACTAACATTCGGAGATACTAACACAGTAGGAAGGGAAGAGCCGTCGGCACTGGGATAGATGAGGTAGGGGCCAAACGTATTGTCTCTCTTGGGCAGCACGAAGCACAATGTGACAGTTTACAAAACCCAGGGATAAGGTTTGGAAAGAAAGTTTAGACTCATTATCAGAGAAATGAAACATTTTAAAAAACCGAGTGCCTCTGCAAGACAATGCTAGATGATGCAGGTGCCTGGCTTTTTCCGTCATGAATTCAGTCAGATTGTTTCTCTTTCATATTTTCATAGGCCAGTAGAAGCTGCTTGCATTTCTCACACACAAAACTCATGACTAAAACAGCTCGAGTACTGGAACAACCCTATTGCATTAGGTGCAAAGTATATTACTGCTGCTGCTACTTGAAGCACAGACGAATGCCTTACAGAAGAGACCCATTGACTCTTCTATCTACATTTTCACTGACTGCCTATCTTGTATGCATACCAGCCCAGCCTCTGGCTTTTTTACGTTTCATTCCATCCAGGAAGAGCACACATCAACTGCTGAAACTTCCTTAGCCTGACGATGGGTTTTTGAACCCGAAAGCTTGCTTAAAAATTCTCCAACTATTTAGTTGGTCTAATAACAGATATCAGATTCACCCAAAGAACCTTGTCTTACAGAAAAGAAGTTTTACAGAGTTTATGATGGTGCAAGATGTGCTCAGGTCAATGCCTTGCCACTCTAAATGCGTCCAAAAGTTGCACCACAAAATTCTAGTTGCTGCTCTCCGATAGAAACCCAAGCACATTCCTTCTAATCAGAACTGTCTGAGAAGAGTCGCACTGAACCATTACCTGCAGCAAACCCTGACACGGTAAAGTAAAATACTTTCAGTCACCTACTTGTCTCAACCACCGGCTCTCAACCAGGGTGCAGTGGCACAGGCATTGCCCCCATGGCCAGGTGAGAGTGCCTGTGAGCCTCGTGTGTTGCCCGACCAGGAGGGGATGCGATACAGGCACACGCTCCAATAAGCCTCAAGCAGACAGGAGAGCCTACTGGTGCCAGAGCCCTTCCCAGTTTGGCCATCCCACGCTCCTCCTGGAAAGAGGTGCACAGGACAGTTCCACCTGCCCCTGCACCAGTTTCTGGGAGACGAGGTGCAGGGTTGGACCTGGAAGGGCTGCAGCATAAGTGCACACTCCAACCTACTTTAAGCTTATCAGAAAGCCCTAACGCAGGAGAAGTGCCTGCTGGTGCCATAGCTCTTCCCAGTGCAGCTGTGCATGAGGCATGCAAGGCATTTTTACCTGGCCACAGCAGCGCAGCACCCCAGCTGAGAACCACTGAGGTAAGCCAAGACAGCACAGCTGGTTCTCAACCGGGGTGCTGCCAAAGTCAAGACTTGTGGAGTGGTTCCCTGAATCTATAAAGGTTGACGACCACTGATCCAAGCCAGAGAGTCAAGCATCAATGCTGGGCTTGTGACAAGACGGCTCTCTGGCTACACCACCATCTCCGAACATGACACGGGCCCTTCATATCCAAAGTTGCACAATGTTCTGCAATTTTGCTCGGTTCTTCCTCTGTGTTAGCACACTGGAACAGTCCATTCCCACTGAAAATTTTGAAAACTCGCTGCTATGTACATTAATTCAAGCCAGGAAATACAGAGCTAAAGCTTTTGGATCAGACCTTTGGTGCTTAATGGTTTCTATGGGACATGCTCGCTATAACTGCAGCAACTGGCTCATACACAGCTATATTCTAGTGCAACTAAGAATATCTTCCAGAGTCAAAATGTGCAGGCCAACAATCATGCCGCACAGTCAAGAACTCTTTGTTGCTCCTTGTCTGCAAATAGCTTGCTTCCATTTAGTCTCTACAATAGATACGTTTTCAAAGAACACATGGAATTCAAACTGTACAAGAGGAGAAAGAAAGGAACAAGTATCAAAAGGTTTAGACACCCAGAGCACAAGCAATGATGACTTCATTCCTCAGTGGGTCTGCCAGATTAAAAAAAAGAAAAAAAAAAAAAGAGACTTAATTATGTTTACTGACAGAGCTGAGGACCAATCAGTAATGGGTTTTCACTGCATCAGACTCTTGGCAAAAAAAACAGGGAGCAGCAGCCAGTCCCTGCTGCAAAAAAGTGGCGATCTGAACAGGCCAGACAAGCACAGGTTGCAAGCAGAGGTGGAACTGCCAAACAGTCCAATGGTAGCAGAAACACGTTCACTTCAGTCTTTTTTGGAGGAGAAGGAAGAGGAAGGAATTAGGAAGGAACTGACTAAATGGAAACAAAAGGGCAGGAAGGGCAGATGCTGGAGGATGGTCCTGCTTTGAGCAGGGGGTTGGACAAGACGTGACCTCCTGAGGTCCCTTCCCACCCCCATTGTGTATAGTTCTAGGACGCAGACAGGTAGGCAGGTCAATAGAGAAGAGCTGACATGCAGGTGTTCAGTGAAGCCAAGATGAAGACACTGAAGAGAAGGTTTAAAGCAAAGAACAAGTCTCTCTCTCTCCTCATTCTGCCAAGTCCAAGTCAAGATAGAAAGTTCTCTGAATGGGTCATTTCCTCACTAGCTCATTCACCTCTGCAACTTTCCTCCCAAGGCTACATAGTGAGAGAGGCGCTGCCCACAGCCCTGGGCAAGCTCTGGGCCCTGGAGCTACCAAGGAAGAAACGGTGGCCTGACTTAGACCCCATTTAACCCTTCATAACTGGGCCCAAAGTTCCCTTGCTCTGGCTGCTTCTACAGCTCATCCTACCATCCAGAAACTCTTATGGGTAAGTGTACTTGACAGGATCAAAACAAGGATAAACTATTAGGAAAAAGATAGAAAATAAACCCTGACCTCCTGCACTGAGCATAGCCATATCAATACATCAATGACACTTTTCAAGCTATTTGGAGAGAATGAGTGCAAGGTTGGAGCACACGCTCTGGACAGCTGACTGAAGTATGTTTTACTAGGATATGCACTTGCTTCTTCAGAGTTTACTTGTTTCTTCTCATTTTAGCTGTTCCAAGCAAAGCAACAGAATATAAAATAGGCCTATTTTCTCTACTGAAAACATCTGGGACGGGGATTACTTACAGTTCACATAACATTCTCATAATTCAGACCAAGCCCCTACTCTGAGCCAAAACAAAAATCTCCTGTTATAAATGCAGGAAACATTCATACAGCAACAGCAAGGACTGGACGTCAATTGTGACAAGTACCAAGAATGTTTGTCCTTCGTGAATTAATGTCCAGAGAGAAGTGGAAGCTGGGACTGGGGCTTGGGCCAGCAGTCTCAGCCAAACAGCTCTGGAATTAGGACTAAAGGAGCAAATCTTCTGGTTCAACTCAGTGCTGATGCAGAGCAAAACATCTGTGGCCTCCTCAGCTGTTCAAACTCCAGACAGGAAGGCCCAAAACCAGAACAGCTGCTGCAGGGGGAATGGTTTGTGCAAACAGGTAACCCCTTCATACTACAACGTGAATTCTCCAAAAGGCGTTTCTCCTCCCCTCAACCCATGGGGCTCAGTGTGCTAAAGTAATCCTCTCTGCACTGCCTCAGCTGGAGGAGCAGAAGAAAGGATGGGAGAAGAATCCAGGCCAGGACTAAATCTTTTTTAAAGAATAAAAACTGAAGTGACCCATGTCCCGTGGTTCTTGAACTTTTTAGATGGGAGGACACCAAGCAGAGAATTCAGCCTAGTGCCCACTGCCTCTCAAAATGTAACTAAGGCAATGGCCCTCAGCCTTTTTAGACTCAACGCACCCCTTGGTAGACTGGAGGCACCTCCCTGAAAACACCAGCTCTTCATTTTCCCATTACTATTGTGCAGTCAGAAAACAAAGCAATTCTCCTGTTGTAAAAAACTCAGAAAGACCACAGCAGGCCAGAATGATTTGGACACACTGGAAATCTCTGGTTTTATCTTGTGAATTATGTTTGCACAAGTAACAGTGCTAACACTGCAAGGCACCCTGCAGCACGCTTGAAAAGATCAAAGCACCCCCAAATCTATAGCATTAAAAATATTCTGACTACTGAGTTTTTTCTGAGCTCTAAACAGAAAAAGAAAGCTCTATTATTTTTCTGTGGTTAAAAATGAGTGAAAACAAAGAGGTTGTATTTTACAAGGCGTGCCTTGAGTTTAAACAGGTGGATAACCACTGGACTAGACCTTTACATGCAGCCCATAAATCCATTTACATTGTCATACCTGTTGAATCTTCAGTCAAATAATGTATCTGACAGCATATTTCCTAGACCAGGTAGGATCCAGTGGTTTCTTTCCATCAGAAACCAGCAGCACACTAGTATAATCTACTTCCTACATAAAACAACAGTGACTAAAGCAACCAAGCTTGAGGATAAGTGTAGTGCAGCGTAGCCTCTCCCCTCTAACCTGACCTCATCCACGTAATCAATCAGTTAGAAGACTGTCAGTGAAACAAGGCATTAACCTGCAAGGATTTCAACAGGGGTATGGTACCAGATAGGCACGAGGCACTTGGGGGCAGGGGTCTTGTTTTCTCTCTGAGACACATGGACATGATGAACTGCAATTCACATCACTCTGCCCAATTACTGGTTGAACACACAGCTAGTCTTAGCTAAAAAGGCTTCTTTTTTTTTAAATTACCCTCATCCTCTACCTCGATTCCCCTGTTTACATGTCTTGTCCATATATTAGGTCCATATATTAGACTATAAGCTTGTGGGAGTTGGTATTGTAGGTCACTATTATTAACTGAAAGACTCAAAACCTAAGTTTTACGGTTCAGTCCTTATTGCATTTACAGTGGCAGAAGGCCAGTGAAAGTAAAATGGAATACAA